TATCTGATGTACGTGTGGTAAGAATTTGCTCCCATACTGTAGGCTCTCTCTACACCTCAATGATTGTCTCCTCTGCTGAGAAGTAGCATTTTAGTTTGAATCCCTCCCATTTACTGATTCATGCTTTTATTTCTTGCACTTTAGGACTCTTGTTAAGGAAGTTGGGAACTAATCCAACACGATAAAGATTTGAGCCTATTTTTTCTTCTATTAGGTGCAGAGTCTCTGGTGTAATTCCTAGATCCTTGGTCCACTTTGAGTTCAGTTTTATGCATGGGGAGAGACAGAAGTTTAATTTCATTTTGCTACATATGGATTTCCAGTTTTTCCAGCACCATTTGTTGAAGAGGCTATCCTTTCTCCAATGTATGTTTTTGGTGCCTTTGTCTAATACGAGATTACTGTTTTCATGTGGGTTTGTCTCTGTCTCTTTTACTCTGTACCATTGTTATACATGTCTATTTTAGTGCCAATGCCATGCTATTTTTGTTACTATTGCTCTATATTAATATAGTTTAAGGTCTGGTATAGTGATGCTTCCTGATTTACTTTTCTTGCTAAGGATTGCTTTAGCTATTCTGGGTCTCTTATTTTTCCAGATGAATTTCATGATTGCTTTTTCAAGTTCTATGAAGAATTTCACTGGGATTTTAATAGAAATTCCATTAAATCTGTATAACAGTTTTGGTATTATGGCCATTTTGAATATTCTGTCTATCCAAGAGCACAGGAGATCTTTCCATCTTCTAAGTTCTTCTTCAATTTCCTTCTTTAGTATTCTGTAGTTTTTATTGTGTAGGTATTTTACCTCCTTTGTTAGATTGATTTCCAAGCGTTTTGTATTTTCTGTGGCTATTTTGAATGAGGTGATTTTCCTAATTTCTCTTTCAGTGGATTCATCACTTATGTATAGAAATGCCTTTTATTTATGGATATTTTTATACCCTGCTACTTTGCTGAATTTATTCATTAGTTCTAGAAGTTTTCTGATGGAATTTTTTTGGGGGATCAATTCCATGTCATTGGCAAAGAGTTATAGTTTGAGTTCTTCTTTTCCTATGTGTATCCCTTTAATTTCTTTTGTCTGATTGCTCTGGCTACAATTTCAAGGACTATGTTGAACAGAAGTGATGAAAGACAATATCCCTGGTCTTGTTCCAGTTTTTAGAAGGCTCTCAATTTTTCTCCATTTAAAATGATGTTGGTGACACTAGGATTGCTGTAGGTATACACATGGATGTATAACCAATGTGATCCTGCAATTTGTACACGTGGAAAAATGACAATTCATACCCTATTTGAATCAAATGTATGATATGTCATGATCATTGTATTGTCTTGAGCAACTAATAAAAAAATAAAATAAAATGATGTTGGCCTTCGGCTTAGCATAGATAGCTTTTACAATGTTGAAGTATGATCCTACTATTCCTAGTTTTTCTAGTGTTTTGAACATGAAGAGGTGCAGTATTTTGTTGAATGCTCTTTTAGCATTTATTAAGATAATTGTGATTCTGGTCTTTAAGTCTATTGATGTGATGGATTATGTTTATTGATTTCCATATGTTAAACCAACCTTGCATCCCTGGGATGAACCCCACTTGATTTTGGTGCACAATCTTTCTAATATGTTGTTGTTTGCCTCTGGCCAGAGTTTATTGAGAATTTTTGCATCTATGTTCATCAGGGATATTCGTCTAAAGTTTTCTTTCCTTGATGTGTCTTTGTCTGGTTTTGGTATCAAAGTGATGCTAGCCTCATAGAATGAATTTGGAATTTCTTTTCTATTTCATGGAATAATTTAGTATTGTTATTAGTTCTTCTTGGAAGATCTTATAGAACTTGTCTGAGAATCCATGTGGTCCTGGGCTTTCTTGGTTGGTAGGCTTTTGATGGCATCTTCTATTTCCTTGCTTGAAATTAATGTTTAAATGCCTATGTCCTCCTGATTCAGTTTGGGTAGATCATATGTTTATAGAAATTTGTGTCATTGAGATTTTCTCTCTCATTGGAGTATAAGTTTTCAAAATAATTTGTAATTATCTCTGTATTTCAATAGTGTCATCATATTTTCTCTTTCATCACAAATTTTAGTAATTTGAGTTTTCTCTCTCCTTTTAGAATGGCTAAGGATTTATCAATTTTACTTATTTTTTCAAAGAACCAGCTTTTCATTTTTTTCAATTAAAAAAAATGTTTTTTTGTTTCATTTTCATTGATTTCAGCTCTGATTTTAATTATTTCCTGTCTTCTATTTCTTATGGTGTTGATTTCTTCTTTTAATAAGACTTTGAGATGTAATTTTAGGTCATTAATTTGTTGACTTTTTTGATGAATAAGCTCAATGCAGTGAAGTTTCCTCTTAGCACTGCCTTTGTAGTGTCCCAGAGATTTTGATATATGTTGTATCAGTATTCACATTTACTTCTAGGAATTTTTTTATCTCCTCTCTGATATCTTCTGCTACCTATTGCTTATTTAATATATTTAGTCTCCAAGTGTTGGAGACTAAATATATTAAATAATTTTTATTTTATCATTAATTTCTAGTTTCATTCCACTATGATTTGCTAGAATACAGGGTAGTATTTTTTTTATTTGCTGAGAGTTGCTTTGTGGCATAATATATGGTCTATATTAGAGAAGAAACCATGTGCTATTCAGAAGAAGGTGTATTCACTTGATGGTGGATGAAATACTCTATATATGTCTGTTAAGTCTAAATCATTGTGTTATTGGGTTCTATAGTTTCTTTGATTCGTTTTTGTTTGGGATATCTATCCAGTGGTGAGAGAGGTGTGTTAAAGTCACCCAATATTACTGTGTTGTGATCTATTTGCTTCTTGAAATTGAGAAGGGTTTGACATAAGTAGATGCTCCATTGTTTGAGGCATAGATTTTTATGATTGTTATGTCTTATTGGTGTATGGTTCCCTTAAGCAGCATCCCTTTTACTAACTTTGGTTTGAAGTCCACTTTATCTGATATTAGGATGGAAACCCCTGTTTATGTGCCCCATGTGAGTGATATGTTTTTTCCCATCCTTTCACCTTCAGTCTGTGGATGTCTTTTCCTATGATATGAGCCTCTTGAAGGCAGCATATTGTTTGATTTTTTTATCCAATCTACCAGTCTATGTCTTTTAATTGATAGGTTGGGCCATTAACATGCAGGGTTACTATTGAGACATGGTTTGTATTCCTAGTCATTTTGGTGTATTTTCGGTTTTTAACTTGAGTTGGTTTCTCCTTTGATTGTATGTTACTTTAGTGTAGTTCCTCCCTTTGCTGATTTTCATGGTTGTTTATCATTTCCTCATGGATTATTTGCCAAAAATATTCTGTAGTGCCAGCTTTCTCATTGTAAATTCTTTTAATTTTTGTTTATGGTGGGAAATTTTTATTTCATCATCAAATCTGAAGCTTAATTTTGCTGGGTATAAGATTCTTGGTTGGCATCCATTTTCTTACAGAGCTTGGAATATGTTGTTCCAGGATCTCTTAGCTTTGATGGTCTGGGATGAGAAATCTGCTGCAATCCAAATTGGTTTCCCCCTATATGTAATCTAATCATTTTCTCTTCCAGCTTTTACAATTCTCTCCTTATTCTGTATGTTAGGCATTTTTATTATAGTATGCCTTGGTGTGAATCATTGAAATTTTGTACATCTGGTGTCCTGTAAGCCTCTTGTGTTTGATTGAAATCAATTCATTCTTCATGTTTAGAAAATGTTCTGCTATCGTTTCATTGAAGAGACTGTACATTCATTTGGTTTGTATTTGTGCCTTCCTGTATACCCTGGTGATTCTTGGTCTTTTCATGTTGTCTCATAATTCTTGGAGGTTCTGTTCATGGCTTCTCACTATCTTCACTGTATGGTCAACTTTATTTTCTAGATTATATATTTTGTCTTCATTGCCTGAGATTCTATCTTCCAAGTGATCTAGTCTGTTGTCGATGCTTTCTGTTGAATTTTTTGTTTGGTTTATTGTTTCCTTCATTTCAAGGATTTCTGCTTGGGTTTTCTTTTCAGAGTATCTCTTTTCTTCCCAATCTTGCCACCTGTAATTCCTTTTTTATCTCTTTGTAGGAGCAATCAATCATTTTCTCTCTTAATGCATTTTTTGCTTTGCAGACCATTTTAATTTTGTACATTCTGAACTCCTTCTCTGACATTTCATGTACTGTGTTGTCAATGGAATCTATTATTGTGTGGGCACTTTCTTCCCTTGTTTTTTCATATTGTCTGAATGTCTTCGTCTCTAGCAATGTTCAAGGGTCACTCTGCTCCTACCATGCTGCAGGCAGGCCAGGGTCATGGTCATCTGCTGCTCCTCCTCCTGGGCAGCAGATGGGCTGGGATCATGGTTGACAACTAATGTTTTACCTCTATTTTATTTATTTACTTTTATATGGTGCTGAGAATCAAACTCAGTGCCTCACACATGCTAGGCAAAGTGCTCTTGTCACAATCCCAGCCCCCACTTTATAACTAATTTTTAAAATACCATGTCACCTGAAAGAGCCCGATTCCAAGCTTTACTTATGTTGAGAGGGTATAATATCTTCCCCAAAAGCTACTGTTTCCCTGGACAGCATCAGCAAATTTGCAGACAAAAAGAGAGCACATTTATCTCCTCCCTCTGTGCTGGGTGATTCCAAAGTATCAAACTCACTCTAGAACACCACACTCAGAGGGCACTGGCCTGATGTTTTCAAATCCCTCCCATGGCCAGCCCACCACAGGAAATGTGTCTTTCTTCACAAATGTGCACGTATCTTTCCAAAAGTTTCAAAAATGGGCCTTTACTTTAATAGCTGCAATCTTTTCCCAAGTTTTCTGTTATACTAAGCTGTATTGTTTCTTTTCTTTTCCTTTTGAGTTACATCATGACCCAACCTAAACATGATTGGTATTTTGAAAACATGGGTCTGGAAATGTACAATGACTATAATAACTTAGCAGCAGCAGGAGGATCATCACCCTTTGACACTAAATGATACACTCATGAAGTTGTCACCTAAGGATAGTGGGTGTTCTTCCACATGCACTTACTGTATCATATAGGAGACCATGATCCCACATACCAGAGCAATGCTGAAGGCTACACACGCGATTAGAATCACTTGAACAAGAGCAGGTCGGTGCGGAATCATTGCTGACATAGAAAGAATACAAGTGCTCAAAAATCTCATTTTAGCTGAATTTCTCAACTAACATGTGTTAATCACACTGCTATTACAAAGAGAATAGAAGACAAAAAATACCTTTAAGAATATATTCTTAATTTCTTAAATATACTAAGGCTATATTGCACAGGCTTTATAAACAAATATAATTTTAGTTCCCAACAATCTCTGATGCCTTTTTTATTTTTTAAATATTTTTTTTATTTTTTAGTTGTAGTTGGACACAATACCTTTATTTATTTATTTTTATGTGGTGCTGAGGATCGAACCCAGGGCCTCGCACATGCTAGGCAAGCGCTCTACTGCTGAGCCACAATCCCAATCCTGCCTTTTTAAAAAATCTACCTCCAATCCTCAAAGTCATCTCTTGCTCAATAGTTATACTGGTTTCTATAATGACATCTGTCATCTGGGGATATACTGATCCCTAGAACAGTAGCTGTCATCTGGGTACATCCTGATCCCCACAGAGACCCTGTCATCTGAGTATATACTGATCCCCATGGAGACACCTGTCATCTGGGGACATTCTGGTCCCTAGAGCAACACCTGTCATTGATGGGTACTTTTCACCTGTCATTGTGTAGCTGCATGGAGAATGGCTTAGTTCTATGAATCAGACTAGACTTCCTCAGCTCATCTGGTACTGTAATGAAAGGGGATTACTGGGCAATTTGGGGTAGGATTCTACGAACCTCTGTTCCAAGAGTCCGATTTCAGGGTTATGGTCTGTGCTATAAAGCCATGGCTGGTCTTTGTGAACTCAGATGTTTTGCTCTTCTTTACATTATCTGAAATTTAAAACAATTACTAGGGAATTATTGTTTGTACAAGTTGAACAGAAAAAAACAGGTACATTACTCAGCTACTTATAAAACCTGCCAGTTGTCTATATCCAGTCCCATGCTTGGCCTCTTTCACCTTGTGTCCCAGCAGTGATATAGAATGGAGAAGTTTCTTTTTCCTCCAAAGTTGGTGATTATTATATAGGATGGACCAGGAAGAGAAAGCACAAAGTAAATTTCTAATAATTCAAAGATCCAAATAGTAGATGATCAAAATTCTAAACATGAATTTCAGCTCCAGCAGGAGGCTATACGTGGAGTTCCATGAATTGAGACTTGGCTTTGTCTAGTGTTCATTTGCTCAATCCCAGCTCTGAATTCATCCCAGATCTGGTCAAGGCCAATCTGCTTCAGTCTGTGAGGATCCTGACTCCTGTTTGATGCATGGTAAGCAATGTTCTGAAGTCATCCAGGGCAGCTATCCTTATTCAAGACACAGCTAGCTCTCTGTTAGTTGAAAATATACAGTATCATTCCAGATTCAATCACAGCAGCTCAGAAAAGATGTCCTTTCAGTGTGAAGAATGCAATCTCACTGCAGGCAACCTACCAGGTAGATACGGCAGCTGCTTAAGTTGTCTAAGCTTCAACTTTCTACATTACAAATCACTTTCCTCAAATGGCTCTTGTAACAACTTCTAAGAGGTAGTGTTTCCAGTGTTGCTGTTCATGTTAAAAAGTTGTGACATTCCCATGGGATCCATATACTCTGAGGGCCTAAAGAAACCTGTAAGCACAGCCCCTTCCCAGGCACCAGCCGTCCAGCACCAGGACGGAGACTTTTCTGACAGCCGAAAAGTGCCCTGAGGTGGAAATGCAGCTTGATGCTACACAAACCACCTGGCCCGCCGGGCTCTGGGAGTGCAGGTAACCACCGTAGATGGTGAGCCATGGGTGCCCAGGGTTCTCTGCAGCTCTGACAGCTTCCTGAATGTCTGCATGTGTTCACAGCGAAATGTTGCAGAGGGAAGAGCAGCAGTTTCATGGCCAGGTGCCATGAGACTGAAAGTGGCCAATGGGAGGCCATTAGAGACAATGGAAGAGGCAGGATTGCTTGTGTGAGAACCAAGCCCAAGTGAGCAGGCTCAAGGAGAGGAGGAGTCAGAGGAGCTTTGCTACAGATGGGGAAGGAGGGCGGGTGCATCCTGGAGGAAGCCATGGGGTCAGAGGGCAGGATCATGAGATCGGAATGAATGCATCGTGTACTGCATCCTGTGCAGCCTGCTGTTCCAAAGCACCATAAACCTGTTGGCTTCTAGACAGCAGGGCTGTGCTTCCCCAGCTCTGGACTGGGCACTGGGGGCCCCTGGCTGCCCTAACAGAGGCCAGATCCTTCTCTGGACTTCTAAGGCACTAGTCCCATCCATGAGAGCACTGTCCTGGGAACTGTCCCCACAGGGCTCCGGCCATAACCCAGGGCGGTGTGGTTTCAACACACTTCTCGTCACAAGGGAGGTAGCAGCACTCCACAGGATCAGCAGCTAAGGGGCCCCGTGACGGGGGAGGCTGAGGAGGAGGGTTGTATGTGCAAGGCCTTGTCTCAAAATTTTAAAAAAAACATGACTGGGGATGAAGCTCACCAGTGGAGTGTCCCTGGTTCAATCCCCAGGACCAACAAAACTAAACACCACAGTGTCCGGTCCCAGGAGAAGCTGTCAAGACACAGCTAGCTTTTCCAGGGTCTGATTAGACCACAATCCCTGCCCTCTGGTCAGAGCCACCGCCCCTGAAGCCCAGGAGCAGCAAGCATTGCCACAGGCCAGCCCTGGTGCAAGCTCATGAAACATGTGGGGTCCCATTGCCTGGGGGGGCACTAGGTGCCTGGGCGCGTGCTGGGAACCTGTGAGTGAAAGGCGCACCCCTGAGCTCTGGGAAGACCCTGCGTGTTCAGGACCACAGCTACATCGACTGGTTCTCCTTCTCTGCACTTCCCCATGCTTTGATGCTTGGGGGCCAGAGGTGCCCCTTCTAGAGAGAAGGGGCAAAGGACAGGTAGCCGTCCCCTCTCTAGGAGGAGAGAGACGGGTAGATAGCAGTCCCCCAACACTCCTGGGAAGGGAGGATCCCACCCGAGCCATTACGCCCTGGGCTACTCTTTCCTGCCTTCTGGGGTGCGTTTAAGGCAGAGGGGATGGCAAGGAGCACACAAAGGAAGAGAAGGGCAGACTTCAAGAGGCAGAAGGAGCAGCAGGGCCCAGTGGCCACCCTCAGTGTGCTCCAGGGGACAAATCTGCAGGAAGAGATGCTGCTGGAAAGGCCACTCAGCTGTGTGTGTGAGGTCACACCTCGGTGTCACTCAAAGGGAGCTGGAGCTGACCCCAGCGCTGGTGTCCTCCTCTGTGGAGTGGGACCCTCTCCACTCACCCTCTGAGGGACGCTGCACTAGAGTCTGCTCAGAGGTGGTCTGCCCTGGGGTGAGGGCCTGGGGCCCACCCAGCTCAGCCCCACGTGTGAATGGACCTCTACCCTCCCAGGCCCCTCAGCTCACCTGTAGTCCTCCCGGAGACAGTGAGCTGGTGGGTGGGCTCAGCAGGTCTCTCTGTTTGGGCTTTGAAGAGGATCAAAGGCAAAGTTAGGCTCCAGGTCAACTAGGGAGAGTGGGGACATGACTTGGCATTAGACAGGGAGCCTGGCGGTCTCCACCTCTCCAGACGTAAAGGCTGCTGGTCAGGGACCAACACCAGGAGACACTGTGAGGTGCTGGGCAAAAGCAGGGTGTGCTGGTGGCACCCACTCTCAGGGACCGTAGTCAGGCCTGGGTGCAGCTCTGTGGTAGAACCCTTGCGCAGCATGCACAGCCCTGGGTTCTGTCCCTGGCACTTTAAAGAGGAAAAACAACCAGAAAACCCTGTGTTTGGATGCTGTCCACCTTTGCAGTCACATGAGCTCGGACATCTAGGCCCCAGAGCTTGTGTCACAGATGGGGCCAGAGCCGGTGGGCGAGCACAGAGCCCCTCCTGAGACACACACCACACAGAATACATGCCGCACACCAGGACATGGTGCGACAGCCTCTCCCAGGTCCAGACCGAGACTCAGCGTTGCTGCCTGGCCTCACAGACAGGCAGGGTGGGCTCTGCTGTTTTAAGACAAACAGCTTCCCGTTCTCAAGTTAAAAAGCAAAGCATAAGCTGGGAACGGTGGCCCAGGCCTATAACCCCAGCAATTCTGAGGTGAGGTGGGAAGACTGCAAGTTCCAGACCACCCTCAGCAACTTAGTGAGACCCTGCCTCAAATAAAAATAAAAATGGCTGGGTACGTAGCTCAGTGTTAGAGTGCCCCTGGGTTCAATCCCCATTTAGGGGAGGGGACAGTGACACAGAAAGACAAGTGGCAGTGAAGGACCGAGCTGTGATGGAAGTCAGACCTTCCCTGTGGTCTGGGGGAGTGGGCCCACTGGAGGCAGCACAGTCCCTCAGGCGAGAGCAGGCTGGCAGGGAGGGGAGGGCTCGGCCTGGCTTCCCAGGGCGCCTGTCGGGGGCCTTGCACAGCTCTGTGGGAGCAGCACCCGGCACACCCGCCCCACAGTGAGCAGGGCAGGCGCACCTGGAGCAGGGGAGAGGGTCGCGGGAGTTCCAGAAGGAATGATGCTGTAGCCCTTCGCCAGCATCTCTGAGAGGTTGCTGAGCCGCTGGGACTCCTCACTGCCTGGGGAGAGGGCCTGTGGCCGTGAAAGGCGGGCACCAGCCACCCCACCCCGGCCTCCCCTGAACCTCCCCTGAACCTCCCCTGGACAGCTACCTGTCAGGTCGGTGGTGCTTCCATTGTCAGGGACCCCGTCTGCCTGAGGCAAGCACAAGAGAGGCAGGCAGCCCAGCGAGAGCTGCAGCAGAAGCACCAGAGATCCCCAGGAGTCCATCACTGCAACAGCCAGCTGGCCAGAGGGACGAAAGGAAACCTTCCAGGCCCGCAGGGCCTCACTAGCGGGGTCTGAGGAGGGAGCTCTGCTCCCCCCAGAATGCCCAGTGATGGCACAGAGCCACCAGTGTGAGGTCAGCGCGAGTCACGGCAGCGAGATTCCTTCACAGAACCCACCAGCCCCCGCGAGGCAGGGGATCGGGACCTGGCCTCCTGAGGGCAGGGAGCGGGAGGTGGAGAGGCATGGCCACCAGCAAGGTGCCCTACGGCCCAACGCTGGGTAGTGCCTGGTCCACATGGCTTTATCCCTCTACGCCTAGAAAATAGGAGGAAGAAACAGACCCCACCTGCCAGAGTCACCACGGGGACAGAGTACAGCCAGCCACACACACTGGGAAGAACCAAAGGCCCAAGGACAGGGACGTCCACAGTAAAGTACCTCCATGCCTGTCCAGCCTCAGGCACAAGGGTCCTCCCGGCTGCCTCCAAGAGTTCCTCTAAGGAAGACCAAGAGAACCTCTCAGAACATGGAAGTGGGTGGAAAACCAGATGACCTAGGAGACCACCAGGCTGGGCGCGGGGTGCCCACCTGTAGTCCCAGCGACTTGGGAGGCTGAGGCCAGAGAGCCTCACAACTTAGCAAGATCTTGCCTCAAAATAAAATAAAAATAAAAAGGGCTGGGATATGGCTCACTGGTAGGGCAGCACTGGGTTTCATCACCACGACCAAAAATCCAAAAACAAAGACAAAAACAACAAGCCGGGCCCTGAACAGGCTTGTGCTCCAGAGGCGTCCGCTCCCCAGCAGCCACAAGGCGACCACAGGGCTCAGAGCCTGGGGAGGAGCTGCCTCCATCCACCACCTCGGGGAGCCCAGCCACAGCACCTTCCCAGCATGCGCGTGGTGAGGCAAGCACTCCCCACAGTGACCCCCGGGACACCAGCCAGGGCTGCTGTGTCCAGAGACACCCCCCCTGCTCCCAACATCTGCCCTGAGTCCCTCTTGCTGCCCCTCACAGTCCTCCAGCCCAGGCTGCCCCTGCGCTGTCCCCACAGGCCTGGTCATTCCTCATAGGTGCTGCTGTCTCCATGGACTTGGCCTTTTAGTGCCCATGGGCCCCTGCTGCCCCCCCCCCGAGGCACCACCTCTTGAAGTTGTTTTGGGATGGTCACCAGCCTCACTCACTGTCCCTGTGGCTGAGAGCACCTGGCTGTGCCCGACATGGTCAGCCTTGGCTTTACAGTTCATCGCCCATCCCATGGGCTGAATGCCATGGTGGCCATGGGTGCTGACACCGTGAGCCTGTGTCTCTCCCTCCATCTCTCACTTCAAAACTGAGAGTCGGGAATCATCTCCAGGAGGCAGAACACTGGCCCGACTGGGAGGCGAAGAGTTCCGCTGCATCCAGCAGCTCATTTCAGAGTGGACAGAGGAGAGCCACCTGGGCAGTGGCTTCCAACCGTCTTCTGGTCTGCACGGCCAGGCACACATCCCCACGCGAGCAGGTCCGGTAGCCGGCTCCTGTTTCTGTGGCACACAAAGCGACATCCCTGCTTGGGGTCTCAATTCCCAGCTGACACTGAGGTGTTTGCTGAGACTGGGGTCATGGGAAGCGGCGGGGCCCTGCTGGCAGAGTTCAGTGCCTGGCTCTCAGGACGGAGGTCCCACTTTCCTGCTCTCTGCCAGGTGAGAACTGCTCTCAGCATTTGCATCCGTCCTGTTTCCAGCCAGGAGAGCATCAATTCCCAGGTGGTGCTTCCTTCCTCAAGGTCAGCAGGAAAATCCCTCCCAGACTTTGAAGTTGTACCTCAGCGAGAACCTGCCCTGTTCAAGAACTCAATTGATTAGGCCAGTCCCACTCAAATGGTCTCCCTTTTCATTAATTCACAGACAACTTCTTGGGACGTTAATCACATCACAAGGCACAGTCACAGACACAAAATGCCTCCCAGCCCCAGGCCCCCCACAGGCGAGAGGCCTGCCTGCACACCAGGGACAGAATTCTTGAAGACCATTTTAGAAGTCACCACCACAGTATCCAAAGCCTTGGAGAACCCACACTGAAGGACCTGCTGCTTCGGCACCTGGGTGAGTCCAGGGTGTGGTCAGCTTCCAATGGCTAGGGAGTGTTGGAAACCGACAGGCCTGTGGGCCCGGCGGGGCTGATGAGGAAACTGCCCAGAGGCTGCTCCCGGCACTCCCATGTCCACCGCAACAAGCGTCTCCTTCCTGACAAGCAGCTGCTTTGTGGCTGGGCTGTGGGGTCACTGGTTCCTCCCCTCTGCCTCCTGGGAGTGGACCTCAATTCCAGGGCATGCTGGGCCTCCAGGGGAGGTTGAAGGGCTGGACACCACCGGGCCCCTCAGCCTAGCTACAGCTGTGCTCCACTACACCTGGTCAGCACAGGCACGTGCAGGGGTGAGCCAACGGTGGGCCCAGGCCGCAGCACTTGCTCTTTCAGGGCGGACACATCCTTTAGTGAACGGTTCATGAGACCAAACGTGGACACCTGCAGGCTGGTGGCCCCTGATCAGGCAGTCTTTCCCTGACAGGGCTCCCACCTTGCCTCCCTTCGGAGCCCATGCCTCACACATGCCTGCCCCCGTGGGCACTCCGCCCCTCTCCTGGTGGTTGAAGGGGGACGAGCGCGGCCTGTCTCCGGGAGCCACTCTCCTGTCAAGGTGTTCCTCTGGGTGGCGTGGCCATGTGGGGGAAGCAGCGGCCAGGAGGTTAGAAGTGAGACTCAGATGCCAGCGCACCCCAGCCCAGCCTGCTCTCTAGGCTGAGACCGCTGAAGCCATGAGCCCCCACGTAGACTTCCTCCTCTAAAGTCGTCCGTCAGTCTTCTAGTCACAGCAGCAGAGCAAGCCGACAAGAGCGCTGGCCGACGGGCTCCCCAGCCAAGGGGCTGCCGGAACCACGCTGCAGGCCAGTCCTCGGGAGGGAGCCCTGGCTGTGGAGGGCGGGCAGGGAGCCTGCAGAGAGCTCAGGACATGAAGCTGGGCTTGGAGGTCAGGGTCAAGGGTGCTGCGGGGGGAGGCACCGAGGCCGCAGGGCAGGAGCTGGGAGCGCCTGACAGTGAGGACTGTGGCTGAGGGTCAGACGAGAGCCATCTGGAGGCAGCGGGTGACAAGGGGGAAGAGCAGAAGCCAGTGTGCAAGGGAGTGTCCAGGGGGACCCACAGCAGGAAGGTGAAGGGGGACGTGATGACTGGAGGGGACTGGGTCTGTCCAGTTTCAGAGTTAGGGAGGGGAGGCGTGGTGAAAGGGACACGGCGAGGGGCAGACCCAGCCCCAGAGGGGTCCTGGAGTCCTGGACACAGGCGCACTAACAGCACTGCGCTCCAGGGCATGTGCAGCTGTGAGGGATTTCACCCGACTCCTGAAGGGGCTGAGCCACAGGAGGCCTCTCAAAAAAAGGTAAGTTGCCAGGGTAAACTGTGGGTCCCTGGGAGTCCAGACCCGCTGCTGGGGTCCGATCTCCTCACACTCGGGGCAGCTCTGGACACAGGTGCTCTGCCACGGAGACCTGCTGACCCCACCTCTCCTAGGGCCTCTGAAGGCCACAGGATGAACCATTGACTCTGTGAGTCCAGCAACGACGCCTCACATGGCCACCAGTGCACCAGGCCCTGTGGGCAAGGGGATGGCACAGTCACGCCTGTGGTCGGACAGTGAACACAGCCTCTCCACAGAGTGCGGCCATGTCGCAGGACGTCCTGGGAGTCCCAACTCCCCAGGACGACATGGCCCTTGTGCAGCGCTGACACCTACCCAGGAAGGGTCCTTGGCCCAAGTTCTTGGCTCCCTCCTGCCCCTTCCCCTCACTCTGGGTGGACTGGCGAGGTTTCCCTTCACTCCTGACCTCCCTCGGCCGAGCGTTCTTTTCACCTAAAGATTAAAAGAGGCACACACTGAACACTGACCCTGGGCAACGCCCTGGCGTGCACAGGTCCAGGGAGGGCAGGCCGCCCTCCAGGGAGTGCCCCAGGCCCCCTGCCCCATCATCCTCTGAGCTGCCAGGGCCAAGTGCCAGGAAACCCAGATCCCAGAAGATGCAGCAGTTCCACACTCAACCCAGATCTCTCCCTATTCCCCAGTGATCTGAGCAACTCGTGTTAACAGCAATGCTTCAGGACAAAGGAGACAGTGACTTCATTTCTTTTTGCTTAGGATTTTCTTGAATTTTATTATCAAATCTCTACTATAGAAACACTAAACAAAAGGGGAACATGAGGGTAAAACATCACTAGAGACGCAGAGCACAGTGGTTGGGACACGGCCTCTGGAGCCAACCTCAGCTCTCCTCCTTACTAGCTCTGGTCCTCTGCTGGGTTCCCCGACATTTCTGCCTCAGTTCCCCAACTGGAAAACTGGGGTAATGGTAGTACCTAGTTAACGGGATTAAACAATTTAATATCTGAAAAACATTTAAAACAAAACGGCAAATGATAAGTGCTCTATGTATCTGAAGAACAAAACGAAAACATCTTAAATTAAGTGGGTTAATTTCTCCATGGGCCTCACAGGTCCTTATCCATAGACACATTTTTTAGATCTGTTATAGTAGATATCACACACAATTCTATGTTCTTTTAATTCCTTTGTGCTATGTATATTGAAGCCATGTCCAAAGTTATAATTTATAGTGATTGCCTAAAACAAATTACAAATACCACCCAAGGAGGGAGTCATGAGCAGAGACAGGCAGCGGACCCTGGCCCCAGGTGGTGAGTGTCACCTTGGGCCCACACCAGCCTCACCCTTCCAGGCTGCACCCTTTCTGCCCTCAGTGATCTCACGCACTCATCTTGTCTAAGGAGTTCATCTTGAGCAACAGCAAACACCCCACTCAAAACTATACTATTTCCCATATTCTACCCCTTAAAGGGCACTAAACCCTGCCCTTATAAAAGCAAAATCTATCTGCATTTCTGTAATTCTGCATAAAATGGTGTTATAGAGATTTCCACCCAACATCTCAGCTCCATGAGAAGTACATTCCAGTCCAACCCGCTCTGCACGAGCCCCCCCGACAGAGCACACGATCACAGAGGTGGGAGCACCTGCTGAAGGGTGCCCCCCACCAGATCCTCAAGCACAGGCTCCTGGTGGGCTGCGTCCGGAGTCCAGAGCTTCCTTCTCTGTGTTGATATGAGGCTGAAAGGGCTGAAGACTACAGAAACCCTTTCCCTAATTTTCTCATTCATACCATTACTTCTAAGATATTCCCTACTGAATGAGAAAGGGGGAAGTCTTATTGAATTCTTAATGAGAAGCTTTCCCTTTTGATTTTATTTATAGGGTTTTCTCCCATAGGTTATCAAATGTACAAGAAATGAAAACCCTCTGATCAACTCAAGGACGTTTCTCCTCGCTGTGACTCCTCTGGTGCTGAAGCAGGGCCGAGTGGCCGCTGAAGGCTCTTCCACACTGGCTGCATATGAAGCGCTTCTCTCCACTGTGCATTCTCTGGTGGATAATAAGGGAGGAATTCTTACAGAAAGCTTTCTCACAGTGGTTACACTTGTAGGGCTTCTCTCCAGTGTGGTTTCTCAGGTGCACAATAAGGGAAGAGCTCTCATTGAATGCTTTCCCACATTCATTACATCTGTATGGTTTCTCTCCAGTGTGAGTTCTCCGGTGTGCAATAAGGTGAGAGCTACAGTTAAAGGACCTTTCACACTGATTACATTTATAGGGTTTCTCACCAGTGTGAATTCTCCGATGAGCCACTAAGTGACAGCTCTGACTGAAGGACTTCCCACATTTATTGCACTCATAGGGTTTTTCTCCAGTGTGAGTCCTTTGATGCCTAACAAGGTGAGCCATTTGGCTGCAGGATTTCCCACATTTGTTACATTCATAGGGCTTAATTCCAGAATGAATGATTTCATGCTTAGTGAGGGCTGAGCGTTCTCTGAATGCTTTGCCACATTCCTGGCAGTTATAGGGTTTCTCCCCTGTGTGAGTTCTCTGGTGGGCAATGAGATGGGAGCTCCAGCTGAAGGATTTTCCACACTCAGTGCATTTATATGGTTTTGCTCCAGAGTGAGTTCGTTCGTGTTTACTAAGGGCTGAGTAATCCCTAAAAGCCTTCTCACACTCGTCACATTTAAAGGGCTTCTCTCCAGTATGCATTCTCATGTGGGCAATGAGGTGGGAGCTCCAGCTGAAAGACTTCCCACACTCTGTACACTCAAAAGGCTTCTCTCCAGTATGAGTCCTCTGGTGTCCAATAAGATGGGAGTTCCAGTTGAAAGATTTCCCACACTCATTACATACATAAGGTTTTTCTCCTGTGTGTATCCTCTTGTGTACAACAAGATGAGAATTCCAGCTAAAGGCTTTTCCACACTTGTTACATTCATAGGGTTTTATTCCAGTGTGAGTCCGCTCGTGTTTAGTAAGGGCGGAACGATTCCTAAAAGCTTTTCCACACTTGTCACATTCATAGGGCTTCTCTCCAGCATGACTCTTCTTATGCTGAATCAGGTACGAGCTCCAGATGAAGGACGTGCCACACTCACTGTACTCAAAGGGCTTCTCTGCATTGTAAGAGCTTGTGTGTTGAGTGAGGAACGAGTCATACCCAAAGACTTTCTCCCACTCATTGTATTTACATGCTTTCTCTACAGCACCAAGTTTCTGATGTTCCATAAAGGATGAGAAGTAAAAGATATTCTCATATTCTTTGTAATCATACTGGTTTTCTCCCATATGGAGTCTTGGATGTTCATTAAAGGATGGGCTCTGGTTAAAGATTTGATGGCACTCCTTATACTCATACAGTTTTTCTCCTGTGTACATTCCTTTATGATCACCAAAATGTATTATATGGTTGAAAGACTTAACAGCATCAGTACATTTGAAAAGATCATCCCCAGTTTGCATTTTTACAGGGTGAACAGGGTGGAGGGACTGGTACAGGGCTTTGTCACAATCACTGTTTTCACAGGTGATCTTATCTGCATACATTATGGCTGAGTTGCACCTCCAGCTTTCAGCATGCACATCAGGTTTATAGAAATGCTCTAACTGAGAAACCCTCTGACAAGGAACGAAGTTTACGCTCTGGCTATACTCTGCCCCAAGTCCACAGAATTCAGAATTCAGTCCTCTCTGAGACAGGACTTGTTTTTGCATGAAGACCATTTGCCTCATAGCTGTACTCTGGTTTGTATGGTACATTTCTAATTGGTCTTTACATCCCCAAACTCCTAACCTAGAAAACCAAGGATCATCCCATATGTATCTTTTCAACTTCATGCCGTGGGATTGTTCTTCATTGAAAGAACTCTGTGCTGGGATCAAGGCACTGCTTTCCTGATCTCTCATCCACTCTAAAAAGAGACAGAAAAGAGCCGTGAGGACACGGAGACCTAGGCTGGAAGGGTGATGAGCTTCATAGTCCATGCTATTGGAAGGCAACAGTGAATCTGTTCTCTGGAAGCCAGAGAAATATCACAGCAGACAAGAGTGAGAAGTGAACACTGTTTACCAGAACACAACCCACACCACTGAAGAGGACTTTCCCATGAAAAGCAGAACCAGAACAAGGGTGTGCAGAAATGAGCAAACTTTGTCAGACTGTGTGCTTAAAACTGCACATCACCAAGATGGCCTGCTTCAGGACGGGCCCTGGCCCACTCCTGGGAATTGAGGTCTTGAAGTATTGTAACTGGTAGAGACTGTGACATGCTCCAGCCCTTGAAGTACACCATACCTACTCCTCCAGGCATCTCTGCAAGCCCTGTTGATCCTGGTGAGCTCTCTACCTGCTTCTCCAGGCATCTCTGCAGGCCCTGCTGATCCTGGTGAGCTCTCTACCTGCTCCTCCAGGCATCTCTGCAAGCCCTGCTAATCCTGGTGAGAAGCTCTCTCCACCTGCTAGCCTCCAGGCATCTCTGCAAGCCCTGCTGATCCTGGTGAGAAGCTCTCTC